AAAAAAAAACAAAAACCGATTCTATAGAAATCTAAATTGCATTGCATTGTGTATTTTAATAACAATGATCAATCTACAATCTAATAAAAGCATAAGCAGAACAATAACAAAATAAACAAAACAAAATTGCACTAAACAGAAACTGCAAAGCAGTTTATGTGAATAACTCAAACAAAATTGTAAAGCAACAAAAAGGCAAATACCATGATCAAAGTACTAAAACTAAGTCAAAAGAACATTTAGCTTCAAAATCATATAGACTTCTTTCTAAAATCCAATCATCATTGGGCCTTTATAAATTCAACTTAAACAATCAGAAACTGCATTGCAATTGCTGATTAAGTTGGAACCACAATAACAAAAAAGAAAACAACCAAAAAAAAGTCATCATGAAAACAAGCAAATAAGCAAAGTCAAAAAAGGCATTTCTATTAACTTGAAAAATCATACTAATATGCAATGAGAAAATAATTTAGCCAATTATAATTAAATAGAAACTGCAATGTGAACATCTGTCTGAAAAAATAAGTTCATGAAGAAGAGCAATCGAAAGGCCCAAACCTTGTGGTTAAGGCTTAAAGGTGCCATCCATAGTTGGAGCCCATCCAGGACCACCTCGTGGTTCAGACCAAAAAAAAAAAAAAAAAAAAAAAAAAAAAAAAAAAGGCCCAAACCTTGAAGACTGCCAAGGTTGTGAAATTAAACCCCTACTTTCGAGAAGAAGGCCGAGAGATAATGACATAAGTCATATTTCATAGGCCAAGGTATCGCCACATTAGTGCTACACCATCAAGAGAAAAAAAAAACTATAAAAACTCACCATCAAGTACCATGCATCTAAACAAAGATAAATCTATTTAATTTGGAGCATGCAATACTCAAGCCAACTGCAACTAGACCCCTCTTTGGTTTAAGTTCCTCAAGAATTAAACATGAGAATAATCCCAAAGACTTTTCATAACAAACAGCAATGAAACCAAGTAATTAAACAAATTCATAAAAAAAGACACATCCATTGATGAGAAAAATTCATAATTTTCATTAACATAAAAAATCATAAACGTCAGTCCAAATTCAAATTAAGCATACCCAAAAGCACATGGTAATCACCATTGAACTTAACCTGAGGAAAATTCAAATACAATTGACTAAGTCTAAAACAAAACTAGCCTATTGATTATATCCTTAATATTTTACCTTTTATTGAGCATAACTAAATTTTTCGTAATAACAAATGTAGCGACATGTTATCGATACAAAATTAGTCCATTGATAGAAGACAGATGTGTTGCACGTAGAATTCCTAATGTTGTGTGTGTCCAAAGTTACGTGATTTTAGAACCACTGTTTAGTACCCTATTGAATCCTAGACCAGTTAACCATGAACTTTGAAACTACGTAATTTTGAACACAAGAACAAAACATCAGTTGAAGATTCTATGGTTGTGTACGTGCCTTGTGATTGATGATGAAAGAAATGGAAGAGCTGGAAGGCCCAACAGCCCATGGTTGCGTACGTATGGAGACAATCAAATTCCTTGAGACAAGAAGGTATCTATGGTTGGTTGAATCACAACCAGTGGCCAAATTCCTGAATCTTTCTTCGAAGCACATGGGCAAGTTGTTTGATGAAATTGGAGACATTTCATAAGCTACTTGCGGTTCTTTTAATTGATGGAAATTGCCGCTCTGTCATTATATTCAATATGTTGACGATGACTTTTATTTCTCATTTCTACTTACCAATAAATGTCATCAAGGGCAAGAATTTTGGTTTAAGGGATAGTGAGGAAGGAAAGCATCGAATGTAAAACCTCGAATTCATGGATAAATACTCTTAATCAGTTTCGGTTTTGTGAAGTGGGTTGAGTTCCTCCCAAAAAACAATCCAGCCCAAAACAAATATATATGTGAAAGAGAGAGGCAGGCTTTGTGCAGAGAAAAGTAGAAAGAAGCCATGAAAAGCAACCCACAAGAAGTGGGCAATTCAGAACATGCAGCATGACTTCTTCTGTTACATTGTTTTTTTCTTTCTTCCTTTTCTTGAATAATGGTTCACAGCTCAAGCTGAGATGGATGTTAGAGAGAGAGAGAGAGAGAGAGAGAGAATGAAAGAATCTTATCAAACACCTAAGAATATGAATTAAATTAAAGAAGTAAATTAAAAGAAGAAAAAAAAAAGGATAGAAGAGGCACAAGAGATCAGATAATAATGTTGCTCTGTGCAGCCACCACGTTTCCCCTTTGTTATTGCCAACTAATTAAATAAGTGCAGCCTCTTTTTAGCCAACTTTTGTAAAGCTCTCTTCCTCTATGCCAACTGTCCCTGCTATTCCACAGCCAAGCACACTGTTTTTTCTAGTATCAGTTTACTTTTACATAAATAAATCAAACCAAATTCATTTGCCTTCAACTCCTACAACTTTACAAGAAATCTTACCATATATACTCGGATTAATTCAGAAAAAAGCAACACAAAGAGGGAAAGAAACCTCATAGGCAAATTACATATGCCTTACTTGTCTTTGCCATTTTGATTCAATCTAATACGTGGAGAGAAACTCAAACTTAAATACAACGACACAAATTTACTTTCTTAACCAACTCGCCTAATATATATTTGCATATTTTTGAACATAATGTGAAAGAGTATTTAAACAGTTACATTTTTTTTATTTAATTTTCTGAACAAATGTTCAATTACAATGTTCAAGGCACGTGGGTTCTGCAAAAAATGAGAGTTGGCAAAATCACAACCTCACGTGACCGAATGATTTTGTTTTGCCCCTTTTTTTTTTTTTCTATGTTCCCATTTTGGGACATTGACTAGGTAGAGCATATGTTAGCATGTGAGCAAGTAGACCATAAAAAATCAGTGTCGCGTATATGTCTACCTGTGTTGGGAGCAATTGACGCTGGTTTGGACATGATGGTTGGGACTGCTGCCACGTGTCCCGCTGTGGTTGGCGGAAAGATGTGAGCAGGTAAGCCCATTGTATGTGATTGATGGTGGTAGTGGTAAAGAGGGTACATTGGCATCAATGTGTTTGGCCCGACCATAGGCTGGCCTGGGTACACTTGAGGAGAGTAATGCCCATTCATGTAGGCCCCACCTGTGTAGCCTAGCTTCTGTGTATCACATAGAATAAATATCAAATCAGACAAATCTCACGATGCATCAACGGCTGACAGCGCTAAAATTCAACACGAAAACTAGGTTACTTACATGATTGTAACTCATATCAGCAGCAATGTAGGTTGGGGAGTACCTGAAAACAAGAAAAAATATTTACATGATTTATATTAAATATATATAGACCTAGAAGAAATAAAAGGGAAAAATGTGATTAAAATAGACGTACCCATAGAATGGAACAGGCTGGTGATGCTGGTGATGCTGGTGATGGAATGGGGTTGCTGGAGTACCTGCTGGTGCTGGATAGTACCACTGCACGTGATTTGCAGGTGCAGGTGCAGGCGACATGGATCTTGCTCCGCCACCGTTTGATCCTTCATATATATATCATCATTTGGATGCAATGTTAGACATTTAATCCTAAATTTGTCGCAATTTACAATTTACAAAGTGCAATGTATGTAGCACGACAGTGATTGGCTAGCTTATATACCTCGTTGAGGAGGAGGAGGAGTGGTGGTGGTTGAAGCCGACCTGGGGCGGCGAGCCCCGAGGGAAGCCAGATTGCAGTTGGCGCGGCGGCCGTTGATGAAGGGCGTCGCGTCCTCGCAAGCCTTCTTAGCAGCCTCAGCCTCCTTGAATGTGACCTACAATGTACATTAACAAACACCAAACAAAAATCAGAACTCAAAACATCACCACCAGCAGCAAAATACAAAAGTTGCAAAAACAGTGAGGAAAGACTTACGAAACCGTAGCCCTTGGATCTGCCGGTGAGCTTATCAGAGATGATGACGGCCTCCAAGATCTCACCGTACTTGTCAAAGTGCTCTCTTAAGGCCTCCTTGGGAGTCTCCCAAGCCAGCCCTCCAACGAACACTTTGGTCAGCGTGGTGTCTCCAAACTGCCCATTAATTACGTTGTTGCTCATTGTCATTTCAATTGTTTACCCCAGAAAAATCACCCAATAATATCAACCAAATCTTCCTTCTTCTGGTATTAACAGAACACTAATTAAGCTCAACAAGCTTAATCTTGTGTGCTTAATGTGTTTGTGTTTATGAAGAAGAAAAAAAAACTTAAGCTTGAGAGAGAGAGAGAGAGAGAGAGAGAGAGAGAGATATATATGGGGGGAGGAGTGGAAGGATTGAAGGGGGTGGGGTGGCAATAATAAAATATTTGAAGAAAAACAGAGAGGCAAAAGACAGATAGACAATGCTGAGGCCTGACTGAGCACACACTCATGAGCCATAAAAACTCATCTCTCCTTGGTGTATTGTGTGGGTGGGTATTTCATGTGGTACTCTTGTGGTTAGAGCAAGTGAATCACTATTTTTACTGAGAGTGAGTGTGAAACGAGCTGTAAATATAAATTTTTTGAATTTTTATGTGTATAATAACGCTAAGAGTATTCTATTTTATCTTAAGATTTTGTACTCGATAAGAAAATAGATGGTAAATTTTTGTACTATTTGATTGGCCCGAGTGACAGAGTGTTGGCATTAGTAACTAAGAGTGTCCTTATGTGTATTTGTTGAATTTACTACTCTCTTTTTGTGACAAATCACGTGAAGAGAGAAATACACGATAAAAGAACGTGTGTGTAACGATAGTACAGCTAAGTATTTCTTCTATTATACAGCTCAAATCACCTTGGATAGTCATTTGATAAAGTAAAATTGTGTTTCCCAAAGTTGTATTTTGACTAATTGGCTCTTCCATGATTTTGGTAAAAACTAAATCTCAAATTGTATGCCACAAAATCAACATTGCACATTAATTTCACCTTGCTAATATGGTTGACAATACATTGACTCAGGCATGAACCAAGAGACAAGGGGGGTAGAATATCTTTTATTGCAATAATATTCACTTTCTGAATTTCCTTTTTTCTTATAAATATATACGGTAAAACATTTACTAGTTACTCGCGCGTGGCCTCACCTATCTAGTAGACGCGTAGGAACACTCTAGAAATTGGAACAACAGTTATCAGAAAGACAGCTAAACGCCGTACGTTACGTGATGGGTCCCACGTATTTTTAACGAAACGGACGTACATGACGTGCAGTCCTAGAAAGACAGTAGACGAATACGATACGGCCAAAGGGCCTTCACGCAGAACACAGGATAGAAAAACGACATGCATTTCTGTGTAGTTTTCTTGAGCCCATAATAACCTGCAGCCGTATGTAAGCTATATCTCCCAGGCTCGATTTGCCATGCCAATGCCATTGAAAAAATAAAATAATCCCATCCCTTGTTAGTGTTAGTGGAACGTAAATTACCCTTAAAAAGAAATATGGTAATTTTATTTAATGCCATTAATCGTGACTTCGTTCACGATAATAATGTGTTCGAACTTTGTAGATGAGAATTTGATACTTGCATTTGTTGCGTATTGTTTGTAGCTATAATGCTTGTTTATAGATAGAACAAGCAAATTGATTTGTTTGATACCATTGTCCTTAATCCAAATGGACTTGGGTGGTAGCTTCATTTAGTTTGGCTTTTTTCTCCTAAAAAATTAAGTAATTATAATTAGGAATGTGTGTATGACGTGGCATTATAGAAACATATAAAATTAGGAAATGTACCAAACGGCCATATGGTTGTGTTGGAGAGAAAAAGAAACTATTTGCTGCGTGTATGCGTGCGGCAGTCTGTCTAGATGCATATGACAATCATGTGGTGAAAACTTTTGTAAGCACGAAACGGTCAAAATCAGAAACGTCGGATGTGCATCAGCATCAAGAAGATCATGCTCTCTCTCTCTCTCTCTCTGCGCGCTAACTGAGTTTGATCACGTGGACCCACCACTCCACAGTGTGGCCAGGGGTCTGTTGTGGACCCCACCTCTGAGTTCTATGTCTCGAAGCTCTTGCAGTAAACTGATGGTCAATCAAATGCAGGCATTGCCAATCTGCAGCCCAACTCAAGCAAGTGAGAAAACACTTTGTCATGGGCTTCGTGATATTCGCCTAAAAATTAGGGGAAATAAATAATGTATTAGAATTAATCTGTCCTTGTTAAATTTCCTTAATTTTGGTAGCTGGGGCAGCTTCAACAACTCATGGTTTTTAAGCGAGATTAATAAGAGTAGCACTAACATAAATATTCTAATTATGACAACTGATAAGAGCAAAACCTAATTATTCCAACAGTTTGTCAAGGATTTTAATTCCAATTGGTGTTCTTTAAGTATTTGTATTGAAAATATATTTTGCTTCCCATCTTCACGTAATGGAGAAACTTCCCCGTAATGGGTCTATGCATCTCTCATTTTAGATTTTACTTACATTACTCACATGTTAGTTAGACGATCAAAACAAAACACACACGCAATATGTAATAATTTCTCATCTAAACTTTATCGTTAGAATTATTTGGATTGAAACACTTGTTTTGGTTCTTTTTTTTTTTTTTTTTTTTGGGTCATAGAAACACAAGAATATTATTGGATAATTTTCACTTTACTATAGTAAAGTTTATTGACTTTTAGAGTTCGATACATCAAATTTTTTTCGTCTCACGTCTGAGTTGCATAGACAAAGTTGATTTTTTTACCACTTTCATACATGCCGTCAGTTTTTCTGTTACCAAGTCTGTTAATTGCTGACATGACAACAAATGTGCCACGTAGACCCACTCATATGATACCCCCCACCCCTGAACCTACAGAACCCATAAACCACCTGCAAACCCACCCCCCAAATGCAAAGTGTTCGATTATTTTATTTTATTTTCAATTTTTGAATTTGCAGAGAGAGAGAGAGATGAATTTTTAATTTTAAGTTTTTATTTATTTCTTTAATTAACTAAATAATGTTTATTTATTTATTAAAAATATATGTGGACCACATGACATCATATGAGTGAGTCTACGTGGTACATTTGTTGCCACGTTAGCAGTTAACAGAAAGACTAACGACATATATGAAAATTATAAGAAAATTAACTTTGTGTATGCGACTGAGATGAAAAAAAATTTGATGTATCGAACTTTAAAAGTCAGTGAACTTTACCGTAGTCAAGGTGAAAATTACACAATATTATTTGTATAGTTCCCTTTTAAGTGGGAATCAAAGATGATAGGGTGCAAGTATTCTTTCTCACAACTCTCTGCTATTTATGTGCGATCACAAGGATTGGCTTTCAGAGATTCCATTGGAAAAATGGGCAAGAAGAAAAATTATAGGCGTGAATGAAGGATGCCTCTACATTTTTCTTGTTATAAAGAGCCAATTAGACAAATGGGAAATGCCTCACCATCAAAAACACTTCATCCGGCGAAATAAGAGCTTTGTTTTTCATTGTGATACAGTTGGTTGTCTCCCTCCAAAGCACCAATCATCAAATGAGAGAGAGAGAGAGAGAGAGAGAGAGAGAGAGAGTACGACATTATAGAGACTAATCATGCACTTTGATGTGAAAACATGTCTTCACAAATTAATGTGAAGGAATTGGGAAAAAGTAGTCGTGTAAGTAGTCGTGTAATTAGAAGTGTTTGAGGAATTAAGGAAAAGATAAAGACAAGACTCAAAATCCTGACTTATGAATTAATATTTACTCTAGTGTAGAGTGGGGACATCCAACTTTGACATATTTACTTAAAAAGAATGGGGTAAATAAGAAATTGATATGGATAGGTTCTTTAATAATCATATGAAATTAGCATATGAATAAGAATTGTAAAGTTATAAGGTTATTTTTGGAAGCAGTAAGGGAGTACATGAATGAGAATTAGATCAACTGTCCCTCTTTAGTTGATATAATTTTTTTTCTTCTTCCCAAAATATGTGATTACGGATTTTAAGATGGGACATGTTTTTTCATTCCTTGTGCGTTAGTAAACATGGGGAAGTCAAGACTTGAAATCATTCATTTCCTTTATATCTCTATTGTATTTGTTTTAGGGGTGATAAGATGCTAAACTCATATACATTATATGGATGCTAGGACTGGAACACAAAACCTTTCATGGGCAAGTATTTATTCCAAATTACTACACTAACGGGTACTTTGCTAAATCTTTTGTCGTTACATAAACATGCCAACGACGTAGGAAAAACGGATACACTAAGTTAAGTTGTATATGTTCTGTAGGTTTGTGCATATTCAAATGTATGTATGGACAAAATATGGGTACGAAAATGTGAGTAGAATACAAGAGGAGAGGTTGAGCGAGTGAGGGAGGGCATGAGAATATACAGAGCATGGCGTTCCCTTGGCAAAGCACTTTGGGCCACGTGAGGGAAGAAGGAACTGCCAGGTGTGCTGAATCTCCCAAAACCACCCCAACCCTTTCTCTCTTTCTCTGTGGGTTATAAGTTTATAACGTGGCCAGCTGTATACCAAACGGGGTATTTTCGTAATTGCAAAACATGGGTTTTGACCTTGACCCACAAAAGGGTCTAGGAGACTGGGACTCTGGGGGTAGTGGGTATGGTAAGGTGAGATTTGAGGTGTACTGGTCTGTCACAAATTAAATAAGAAAAAAAGAAATAATAATAATAAAGAGAGGCATCAACAAGGGGTGCTACCGGTGTGAGCTGGACGTCGTGAGGGTGTGAGTTGGCCTAAGCGGACACATGCCTCTATCTCTTATCAATATGATTCCATAAACATGATGATGTTCTATTTGGGAATCTTATTTGTGCATGTATTTGTTTTGGTGATAATAGCTAGATGGAAATTGGAATCACATTCCTTGAGATATTTCTCTTCATGAACAAATAACATAGACCGTATAGAATCCTACATGGCCTTGATTTCTCTCCACCATACCAAAAGAATATTTCCATGTCTACATCCAAGAATTGTCATCTGCATTTGCATTAGATAATTGGAGAAGGAAATGGAATCAAAATGTTTGCGTGACAAGTACAGCAATAAAAAGCTTTGTTCATTTACAAGGAAAATAAGCATATACTGTATACATATATAACAGGATGAGTGCTGGCATGCAGCAATTCAAAAGTTGCCGCACACACACATGATTGAAAAGAGGGGTCCATGCAAATTTTGAAGCTTCCATTACTTAAATCGAGCCTGGATCCGTACAACCATATGCAAATCACGAGAATATTCCCTTGTGATATATATATATATATATATATATATTACATATAACAATGTTGAACGCTTAGATTATAAATTAGGACTGTATAAATGCAAGTGAACAACAAATTAGATTTACGATCTCCTGACATAACATAACATGTCAGACTATTTGACGAGATAAATATTATAAGTAAAAAAGAAAAAATTTGAACAAAGAAATAGGGAATTAGAAATAGCCAGGTGCATTAAGTTGTTATCCAATAGGGTAGAGACAACTTGGTCCAAAATTGATAGTGGTATAGAGTATGAGAGGGGGGTTGAGTTGGCAGCCTCGTGCAGGCAAGAAATGATGGTCACGTCGTGGGGGGAGGGGAGGGGGGGCAGTGGGATGAGATTATTTTATAACAGCTACTTCTTGTTCATGCTGCGTTTTCTTGTTTTGATTTTTGCCTTTGCAAAGCAAATTTCAGACTCAATTTGTTTCAGACAGAAAAAGAGACCAGATCAATATGATCATGATGCGTCCTCTCTCTCTCTCTCTCTGAGTCTATTATTATCATAGCTCACGTGCATGCAACGTGACAACTACCCTTCAAAAATCCAAACCTTTGGTGACATGCATCACGTGCTGGCACGTGGCCTGTGAACAAGATAAAGAGTACATGGACAAGTTGTGGTGCTAGGTGTTTGTTTTTGAGTGTGAGTACAGGCCTCCTTTGGTGGCTCGGCTAGTGTATTAGAGTTGAGTCTAAAACACCAACAACTAATTATTCATGCATGCTAAGAACAAGAAAGGATAGCAGGCAAAACTCCATTGCCGAGGAAATTTACTATACATCATAAGATGGATAACCAAACTTTTCATATGAAAATCTTCATATATTTCAACTTTTTCTTTCACGGGGATTCTCGAAAAGCACCAATCTTATCAAACAGTATTTCTTCACACGGTCAGGCAACTAAACTAGACACAAGGCCAAAGCAAAATTTACAAACAACTCCATCTAATGAGAGCATCTGCGAAATACAAAACTCTCCTAACCCAACCAAAAACAGAAACCCCAGAAACACTTGGTTCTTTGATTTAACTCAGATTCACATAAATGATACTATCAATATTGGAAACTTAACAACTTTACCACCTTCGAGTTCTTAAAAATTGATATATGACAAATTAAAACTTCCAGTTGTTGCTTCGCACGGAATCAACAACCGCATGATGTGCCTGCATTGCAAGATATTGAGGAACACGTGTCCTCTCTTCTTCCTCATATCATAAACAAAAGCATCAATTTCCATTTCCCATATTGTTCAAAGGCACATAATATTCCTCCTACAATTGAGAAGGAAAAAAATAAGGCAAATGAATTCATTCTCTTAACTAAAATAGCCAAATAAAGCAGTAAGAAATCATATCCTTTATAAAAAGCAATAAAATAAATGTAAAGACGTCAGTGTCATATCATGTTTTAACCAAATACACGATATTATAAAAGATGAATGGATCATTTTTCTAAAGCACATAGCAATCCGGTGCATCAATAAGCACTCTAAAGAAACACATATTATAGTGCTACCCGAACACTTTTAAGTAACATTCATAAAATGGCTTCAAAAAACATCTTTAAACAGGTTCTTGATATGCATTGGCATTACCACTGTAACAGACAGAATATTAGTAAGAACTACGAAATTTATATATGACATATGTCTATTTGAAGACTATTTTAAATCAGTCCATAATGTGAGGTCTGCTTGAGATGACTAAATGCTACATCTTATTAGCATCTTCAAGGAATCCAGAGCTTATAGCCGGGGAAAATCTAAACTATCTTTTCCCAAAACTCAAACAGACAACAACTGCAAACTGCCTTAGAATTTACATTGACATGTTGACAACTACCTCCAGCCTATAGATAGTAAAGCCTAAGCTATCTCTTCTTAACTTCAGATTGTCTCCTTGGATAATCTAAGTCCTACCAATAACCTTCGCCGACAAGACAAAAATAGAAGGCAGTTTGGCATTGCAAGCATCAAATCCCTCCCAAGCATACAAGAATTAAAAGATTAGTTCATGCATAAAGTTACTAAAAAACTTATATATCTATATAGCATTGCATAAGTGACGGACGATCTCTAGTCTTGGTTTAGAGTTTTAAATTGTTACTATTATATTTTCATAGGAAGGGGGAGATTTGTTGGAGATATGAACTCTAAGAACAGCTGCACATTCTAATTTATTTGTCTTTCCTCTTGTGGGAAAATTAGATTTCTCCGAGTCACTATCAATCAAATGATTTACTGTACATATACTGAAGTATTGCTATACACAACTTAACTCAAATTCATGTTTCCTAGAATTACTACATCTTCACCTAGAGACAAAAAAAAACATGCAATTCTATATTGTATTTGGCATAAGAGCAGTTTGGTGGCTTAAATGGACTACGCGGATTGGAAGCACTTCTATAAAACCAGTGCCTTACCTAGTAAATATTTTACCAAATTCTAAGAATACATCAAATGCTCAATAATTATTTATAATGTTTCCCATGAGCACTAAAACGTCGAATAAATCATGCCATCTTAAAGCAACATAGGGTAAATATGCCCATAGCGCAATCTTGTTGGTTGGGATTGCATTCTTTTCAAAGGGTTACACATACATACATGCATATATATATTTATATAATTATATATGTACACAGATAGAGAGAGTGAGAGAAAGAGAGAGTTACTTGAGGATTGACGTAGTTCAATGATCCCTGATGAACAAACTGCTGTATTCATTCACCACCAGCAATAAAAGAGAATGGGGTCAGGTCATAATCCAAAGTTTAAGTTATTTTAATGGAATTTTAAAAAACAACAACAACAACAACTCTAAAGCCAATCAGACCTGTGAACTTGGGCCAGGCATGGCTCCAACAGCATTCCCTTTAGCAGATCCATCTCCACCCCTAGCAGATCCCTTTGCATCACCCTGTTCAAAGTTTGGCAAGAGAATTATTTCTAACACCCCCCAAAGAGATATGAACGAAAAGACTAAACAATTCAAATGTAGTTCAATCAAAGATAAAAAAAAATATTAAACAGAACTAAAGAACGTTTAGTTACCTCCAACTGTGACAATGCAATGATCCCACAAATCAAACGAAGGGCCAAAACAAACAAAAAGAAAGAGAATTGTTAGATTGAACTGATAAGGAGTAAACCCGTTGCATGAATTGAAAGCAAGATGGAAAAAAACCTCATTCAATTGAGGCTCCTCCATTATTAAAATCTAAAATAGAACTCAAATAAATGCTACAGCCAAAAATTAACATTTAAAATCAACATGAACACTACAACAGAAAGAATAAAGGGCAAAAGTTGAACAATAATTACCTCCCTGTACCTAGCCAAGTAAATCCTGAGGGGCTCAATATAGTCCTCAAACCCTAACGTGGCCATCGCCCACAACAAATCATCACCGTTGATGGTCTTACGCTTCTCCTTTTGGCACTTGTCGCTGGCCCTAAACACCCAAAACCCCCAAAAGAATGAACACAAAGGCAGTGCGATTGAACAGCGAAAAACGAAAACGCAAGAACAAAATCAATGGAGAGAGAGAAGGAGCTGAAAAAAAAATACTCGCTGGTGACGAAGCTGATGAATTCGGAGACGCATTCCTGGACGGTGTCCTTGGCGTCCTTGGCGATCTTGCCGTTTTGCGGCAAAGCCTTCTTCATGATGCGACTGATGTTGGCGATGGGCAGATACCTGTCCTGCTCGCGCACGCCGCTGCCGCCGCCGCCGCCTCCCTGAGGGCTCTGCTCGCCTCCGCTTTCATGGCTCCCGCCTGCCGGGCTCGTCGGTGCCTCCGCCATTATCACAATCGATCACTGCATTTCATCAAACAATTCATCTTCATTCTTTTGCTCGTATAATAGAAATAAAATAGTTATTTCATCGGAATTGAAATTGGAGCCCTAGGTCGGCCCATTAGGTTTGCCATTATTGTGCAAGCTTAGAGAAAGAGAGTGAAGGAGAGAGAGAGAGAGAGGGAGAGAGGGAGGTGGCCCTTTTCGTACCTGTAGGTATGTATAGAGGGATGGAGAGAGAAAAGAGAGGAAGAAATGGTGTGTTTGTATTTGGCGCGCTGGGAGAGGAGATCTGACGATGGAGAGAGATGGAATGAAGAAGGTTTTGGCTTTATGCTTATCATTTATCAACACCGTTCGTTGTGGTTTTGTTTTGCTTCTTTTGCCAGAATTACAGGGACGCGGGCCTCTTGATCTTGGGCTCCGTACAACATAAGGGGCCTAAAAAAGCTTTGAGCATTTGAATCATTTATCAAAAACTCGAGTCTAAAAAAGGGTTTCGCAATTTTCAACACGATTCGATTTTTATTTAGAACACGACTCGCTATCATGGATAATAAAAGGTCAGATTAAGGGGTTTATTAAATTGACATAAATCAATTCCGGTGTTTGGATTAAAAAATATAGAAATTTAGAAATTCTGCGTGGAGAAAAACATGGAATTTGGAGATCATAAATCTCAAGTTTAAATTCTATCTTAAAGTCGTTATTTCTAAAACCCCAAGAGAGATTGAGTTTTAAAAAAGATAACTTTACAAATAAAGGTTAAATTCCATGTTTTAAATCAGTCACCCAAACAAGAAATTTTACAAATTCTAGAACATTAATTTTCTTCATTTTAAATTCCGTCATTTATGAAATCCTTTGTACTTTTAAATTTCTTAATCCAAACGCACTGTAAGAGTATTTACTCATATACTAGAAGTCTTGTGTTCGAGTGTCCCTCCCTTAATATCACTCGTATATAAAATAAATAAATAAATAAGTCAGGGTTACTATTAAATTCTAATAATTTAATTTTGACATGATTGAAAGTTTAACTAGGTATATGCAAAGAAAGTGACCAATTGAGTGTTATTTGGATTGGCATGCTCCTAAGTGGTCTTGGATTCAAACTTCCATATTATTTGTGTGTGTGAGTTTTCCCTTCTTTCCTTTCTAATTTTGGCCCAAATTTTTTTTATATTATTTTTTAATATGAATCTTTATAAAATTATAGGTTTGTTATTTATTATTTTGCTATATTAGGATAATATGAATATTATTTTATTTTATGATAGGTATATACATGATAGGTTTTAATTTGAAAATGAGGGCAACATGATAGGACTCGGTTGCCACCTCCAACGACACAATGACTAGGCATTATTAACATATAAAGCACTAATATAATTTATGGTGGGTCTCAAGGTTAGGTTAAGCTGGCGTATACAAATATGGTCATCCTTATCCATTCAAATTGAACAATGGTGGTTGTGACGAATTATTATTATGAGCTATGTGCCTAAGTTGCACTTTTGCACTCATTGTTCACAAACAAGACATGTTACTTTGTGTAGGTGATGATAATTTTTTTTATTGGACTGAAATTATGGATGTATAACACTAAGCGACAGTGCGACAGCCAAGCTCAAATATTTTTTCACTTGAATGTTAACTGTGTCCTTGATCGGGCCATATCGTTTCAATTTTATATAAACTATTCATCTTAAGTTGAATCCTTTAACCAACCTGCTAATCAGTCTTATTATGTTGAAAAACTAACACATTTGGTCTTAAGTTGAATCCTTTAATCAACACGCTAATCAGTCTTATCGTGTTGAAAAACTAAGCTAATCTTTTTTTGGTCAAATCTCTAAGCTAATCTGATCACTCTTTATATTATCATCAAACAAAACCCAGCCGATCAAGGAAAAATGAATTTATAAAATGCCAAGGTCCAAATTAATAAATGAAACAAAATGGAAAAAAGAAAAATTAGACATTTGTTAGGCCACAAATCACTAATTAGCTACTTCATTTGGGAAGATGCTTGTTTGGCTGTCAAACATATATTATTCCAACTGAAAACTTAAAGTACAAGAATGCATTCAAGCTCTTTACACTTTGGGGGTTCACAAACAATCAATGCTCCTTTAACTTCCTTGGATTCTTTAGGTTCACGTCTTAATCAGAATGCCCTAGAATGCCTAGGGGTGCCCTAGAGAAAGCAAAAGTTGCTACTTGGTACCTAACAATTAAGGGTGCAATCAAGCTGCATTTCCTGCACAGATTAATTCTTCTAATAAATTTGGGAGAAAAATGTTTGAGCAAAATCATACCTGGTTGGAGAATATATATGGTTTTCGTGGAGAATTATAAACTACATATTAACAAAAAACATGTTTCTGCAAAAATCAACTAAAGAAATCCGAGGGTCCAAAACGACAGCGCATATTACCTTGAACAAAACCATATCTGGTGATAAGAGGGTACAATTACAAGAATTATTTTGCATAATATGTGTAAATGGTACCCAAAGAGATCAAACTAATTTCTATGTATGACAAGAGGCTTAATAATCATATAAGAACCTAGGATGGTTTACAAACGAAACAGAGTACATCCATTTATTTTATGATCCTTGGTTCGCTTGAACTGGAGCAACAGAATCATAGAGAGCTTAATGGCCAAATCACATAAAGTCCAGCTTGGTTATACGTCCCAGTATCCGATGGAAGCACAAGATGATAGACATAAGTATTAACATCCTATGCAAGAAAGAAGATACCTCCACCTTTTATACAAACTGAGTGAGAAAGTACCCTTCTGAAGCTGCTTTCTCCATGACCTCTTTCTGCTCAAAAGAAGTTAAATAAGAGTCAACTCTTTCAATGTTCATTATCAGATTTATGGGGAATTGAATAATATACTCTTCTTTCATCATGTGTGCAACAATTTTGACACGTTTGATGCCAGAGAAGAATATATAGATTTACCTGGATTATTGTTGTGACCATCCCAGGACCCTCCTGGTTATAATTGCAAAACAAATAAATAGTGAAGAAAAGAACAAAGAAAATGCGCAGAACAGTTGCAGCATCTTAAAACTCTAGATGCACACACCTCAAAATGTTTGTCTTTCCATGAGATCTCCTCCCAAGATTTAGAATTTAGTGATTCCCATGAACTTGGAAAACTAATTGTCTCTGCGTGCTGCAGAAGTCTCAAGCTACCTGCAATGTAAATCTCTTTAAATCTTATGATAAAATATTCTAAGAATCTAGGAAAGTGTTTCCTCTGCCCAAATTTAAAGTAGGAAGAGATAAGTAGAGGCTTACTTGTAATGAACGCCTCTGCCCAAAATTCACTCTCTGACCACGATGGTGCAACTTCTCGAAAGGGGATTCCCTTGCTCAAGCATACTCTACATAAATTACAAGAAGCGCAATCAACTGATCAGCTACCAAATTGGGAATCACTTAATATAAAGTGACCCGAGTGCATTCAAATACAATATGTATCTTGGACCAGAATTTCCAAGTTAATACTTCCTCCAAGGTCATTCATAAGAGCTCAATAACCCTATGGAGAAAACCTTGCAAAACAGTTTATTTAACTTTTTCAAACATTCAACAGAACCAGCGGACACTAGAAAAGGCTAATCAGAACTTCCCTTTTTAAACCACATACACCATTCAACACAAACTGTGGATACTAAAGAAAATAAGACTTCCATGTGTAAAGAAATAACCGGACACCAGACAACACAAACTGTGGCGATGGCGCTAATCTACATAGTAAATATATTTGAAAAAAATATAGTCAGGGGTTCAACAGTAGAAGGGGGGACTTACTCAATGACCAATTGGCGTATAATTCCTGGAAGGACATGATCAATAATAGGAGCTGTCTGTACTTCAAAACAGTGCATACTTTGCCCCTTAGCTTCATCGTTATCCTGAAAGCACCTTTCACATTGTTTTCCAATTAAACAGCTATCTATAACTAGGAGAGTCTAAGACATATCACTTGGTCATAAACATACTCTCCTAATCAGCAAACTGACAAAGAAGTCTCACTTAAAACTGAGTTAATCTAATGTAGTTAAAAAAAATTTCAAAATCCAAGAGCCTCTAACCTTCCGGCAGATGACAAAGAAGTTTGAGACCGTCCCCTCAAGAATCTGGTCACCGTCATTAGACAACAAGAGCTCGGTCCCATTGGGCGGCCTCAACCTCTCCAAAGACTTCCTAATCCTGCAAGTTAAGCAACCCAGCAATCAAAACTGCTGAAAATACTTAAAACCCAAGTAAGAAAAATCCTGCATATCAATCTTTTTCAATTTTTCAATTTTTAATTTTTAATTTTTTAACTCATTCACACACTGATAAGTGGTCAGAGATGACCAACCTCACCCAATCCGAATACTTAGCAGAAGCATCGTCTCTCCCACGACCCACCACAGCCAAATGCGCACCGTTTCCTTCGATACCAAACACAGTTGGCACATAAGTCCCAATGTAAATACTCACATCAAAAACCCCATTACCAAATCTTTCATGGTCCAAGCCCTCACTCTCATTCTCACTCAATTTCTCCAAATTGCCACTGACCAGAGCTGTAATTGACAGTTCCTCTCCCTCACTCCTCTCTTTCAAAGCAATCGGCAACACTCGTTTCATCGAACGGTTCACGAGCTCGCGAACCTCTGACTGGAGCAAAGGGGAGTTGGAGGAGAGCAACGGCAACGAAAGCGACGTCGTTTTGTTGGGTCCGAACAGAAGCTGAGGATTCGAATTGTATAGAATTGCTACTGAGTCCACCAGTCTCTTCAAGTGTCGTTCCCAGAACAGCACGAACGACGCGTCTTTGTGAGTGCGAGACGTCGTGTACGCCCCTGGTGTGATCGGAGCAGCCGCGAAATTGGCTTTTTTCACACGCGTTTTTGGAAAAATTGAATTTGATTTTCAAACAGAGAAACAGAGAGAATGGTGTACCTGGATGCGTTTCGAGGAAGCTTGTAACCGGTGGAGTGTTGGCCGGCTGTGAAACGACGCCCTTGCTGAACAAGAACCTGGGGCTTAAAGTCGCCATTGATTTAGTTGCTGATGGTCGCCATCGATTTTTAATCGTTGAGGTTCTGGGTTTGTAGTAGTGAAAATGATCGAAGAGGTTGACTGCCAGTACAGTGTCGTTCATTTGTAATGAAATACAGGACAGTACGAAACTCTCGTTTTCAGAACAACAAATTGTAAAGATAAAGAAATGACAATTAAATATGTATGAGAAATTCAAGAAAGAAAAAAAAAATGTATGACAAACCGCATCATGCATTACTAGTTTTCAATATTGAATATGTGAAAATGGACACGCATTTTATTTGTTTTTGCTTCGATTTAACATGAATATGTCTGCCTTCAACATGATAATAAACCATAAATATACATAAGAAAATATTTATACACATATTGATTATATATGTTGAATTAACAAAATTCTAAAATAAGATATTTGAGGAAACTAAAAATATATTACACACCACTAAAAATATATTTTTATACGAACATATATGATAGAGGTGTGTTTTGGGGCAATGCTATTGTATAATTTTGTTGTTGTTTTTGGATATTTCTAGATCATCATTTTGGGGTGAAGCTTGTTGTTTGCTTATCGCTTGTAAGTGTATTTTAACTTCCTTACTCTTTAATAGAGAAAGTAGGGTAATGACATTCAATATCAACGGTATCAACAAAACGATGCATTTAATTTATTTAGTATCCCTATCTCAAAAACAAACATAAATTGTGTTATAATATGCACACATATCCTTAATTATTCAAAAGAAAGTCCATATATAGTTCATTAATATTATAGATTAATTTTTCTCATTTATGGTTTGTGTGTTCAAAAGCATCAAAAAATCATGTATAGCAAAAAACCCTAATTTGTCCCAACGTGCATGGATAACTCACGTGGTTACCTATTAAAGAAAACAAATTCGATTAATAAGCCTTTTCGTAAGTGACATTTAAACGACCTATCGTAGATTTACTTTTGACCAGATTCAGACAACAAAAGAAATATATATGTATACATATAGTAACTGTTACAAATCAAAGCCATCTCCATTTCTGCAAATGAAGAATGGTCATCACCTTTCACAAACAAACGTACCCCTTCACTCCCAAATTAAAGCCCTTTCCATTTCTGCAAATGAAGAATGGTCATCACCTTTCACAAACAAGTGTACCTTTTCACTCCTAAACGCTACAAATTTTCCTCCCTATAAATTCAAACCTCACTCTCTACCCAACACAATCCTATCAAAACCCAAATCACTCTCTCACTCATTTCCATAGCATCACCAACAACAATGGATGCCCCATCTTCCTCCACTTTCTTTACCTCTTCCGGCGTACCCCAAACCCTTATCTCAGTCTCCCAAGAAGAGTTTGCCCTTTTTCACAACATTGACCGCAAGCTCTTCTCTCGCCTCATCTTTCCCCTTGGCCGTGATCCGGCTGAGTCTGCCCAGATCATGGCCTTGTGGATGTGGCTTGAACACGCGGCTAAGGAGTACAACTTTGTGCACAAATTATGTGTCACTTTACCCGACACCATTCTTAATGGCATTGCAGATGAGTCTGTCGTGGCCTTGAACTGCATTCAACAAGACGACTTCCATGTTGACATCACCAACCGCAACCAAGACATTCCCTTATTCAATGCCTTAACCAAAAGTTGCGTCACCCTCGAATTCTTCCACCAAAATCGCCTCGGCATCATTCGGGGCATCACCAAGTTGTTCAATGAGGTTTGCATAAAAGCCTTTGACAATTTGTTCCCTAAACCACAACCAAACCGGGCTGAACAAATGATGTTGAATGCCGACATGTTTCGTCCTTACAATCCATCATTTCACAATGCTGCAGTTGCTGCCTATGACATGGTCGGGGTATCAAACATAGGACTTTTTCCAAATCAAAGAATGTATGGTGGGGATGTGAATAATAATCCACCATTTTTTGGGCCTTATCAGCATATTCATCTTTTGGCCAGGGCTGCAACGAGGGGGGATGCTGCCCTAGACTACCTGCGTGGTGTTTTTGATCCCTATGATCTTGCTGCTCAACGCCATATTTTGAATGAGGAGATGGGGGACGTTTTGAGCCATTTGAATCTAAATGATGATCAGCAGGAGGTAGAGGATGTGTCTGCTGATGAGAGGACTATTTTCTTGACATTTTCTAAGGGCTATCCCATTTCTGAAGTTGAAGTCAGAGAGTTCTTCTCTAGGTTTATATAACACTTTTTGTTGTTGTTGATATGTTAGTTCTTTTTATATAATTATAAATTAAAATTGTTTTTTTGTTTTATTTTGTTTTGTGGACAGGAAATTTGGAGACTTTATTGATGATGTTTTTATGCAAGAAGTGCCTACTGAGGAGCAACCATTGTATGCTCGTCTTGTGGTTCGGTCTACTTCCTCCATTCCAATTGTTCTTGACGGGAAAAATAAGGCCAAATTCTCCATCAATGGGAAACATGTTTGGGCAAGGAAATATGTGCGTAAATCAAAATCACCAGGAGAACCAAGTTCACCTGTAACTTCAGTTTAAGTAATTGGTTTTGGCTTTAAGAGTCTTTCATTCTGTAAGAATGAAGTTGAGTGAGTTTGAGAGTTGTACATACCCACAGTTATATAGTGTATCCTAAATGATGAATAAATTTTGTACCTCTCAAGCAATATTGTCAATTTGAAGCATTAAAAGTTTCTTCGGTTTTCAGTGCTGCACAATTCAAGAATCTGCATAAAAATGTTGCACACAAATTATGAGTGAATAATGCAACTTCTTGCATTACATATAGGGAATAGTACTAATGCATACTATTGTGATGTGCATAACCACGCAAACAATATTCTCATGTGCACGTGGACTATTGATCCTAACAATAGATTTTTAAATACAAGTGATTTTCAAACAAGATGCAATAACGTATCTCGAAATAATTTGTTTAATTTGTGAATCATACAGTTTTAAAAGAACGATAGTTAAACTATACACTTATCGATGATTGACGCTGATATTTTCCACTTACATAAAATACAAACATTTGAAACTAATTTTTGTCCATGTGAAGCACTGGATATGCATTTTTCTTTTGAAGGTAAGTACAATTATTTGATATTAATTTTTTTCCAATAGCGAATTTAACCCATTAAATTTAGTCAAAGGTAGAAGAGTCAAAATTACATATAAACCTTACATACCAACAAAAAAAGAAATATCATTTTGTTGCGTACTTATGTTAGGTCATGTGTGGCGTCTGCCGTTCAAATACTTGAGTATAAGTACCGTAATCTTTTCTTGTACAAGGTAAAAGATATTCAAGTACGTGGTATGGTTGTCTTGGGCCCACGTGTGAGTTTGTCAGGGCCACTGCCCAGCCAGCTGTGACCACTTCAATTATTATTGGATTGGACCAAATTCATTAAATTTACTAAACTTACCTCTATAAACATATTATTATTTTCACTAATAAGGACTTTTGGTTAAGAGTTATCAATTAGATGTGAGTGGATTAAATAAATTTTTCCTATTTCTCAATGATATTCCACGATCAAACAATAGGATGAATCCCGTGAAATCATTTCATAGAAGTTCATTATATATTTTTAAATGAAGCAAATCGACTTCGATTCTTAACTAATTATTAAAGTAAAATTCTTCATAGAGTCGAACACTTTTAGTATTTAGAAAATAGTTGTATCTCCTATCTTTCTACTTCAAATCAACCCATTAAAATTGTTTATATTGCAAAACCATACTTCTATTATGAAACCTTTTCTCATTTGATTTTGCCCCACTTGGTATTAGTATCACATAAGGTATCATATTAGCAAGGGGATTGAGATAAAATTTATTAAATAAAATCATTAATAGATAACAAAGGACGCACGCACCTAATGCTCCCGAACGTCGTATTAGAAAGTGACACGTAGTAAAATGAAAAGCGAGAGATTTACTGCGCACACGTGTCTCCAGTTGATTAGACTTTCACAATTGACCTGTGAACGTTTACCTTCCATAAAATTAAAGAAGGCTGAGGTAACCAATCACTGTAAAGTTTGAAAAGGGACAATAAAGCAATTTGTTCGGCCTCTGCGCAATTTATTTTCTTAGATCTCCAAAAGGACACATACCCCTATACCCAAATAATACACGAACTCACAAACACACTCTCTCTCTCTTCTAAACCCCCAAACCTCGAAGGCTTTCACTTTATCGAGAAGATCTGGAGGTAAACTCAAAAATCACTCTCCTTAAGCTTTCAACTTTCAAAATCTGTTTGTTTCTTATATGCTATGCTTTCCCTGTTCGGTAAATTTCTCGATTGCGTGCTTAGATTTGCTCAGTTTTGTCTCTAGGGTTTATCGATTTCGTGATTTTTTTTAAATAAATAAAAATAAAAATGAAAAGAAGCTTTCTTTGATGATTTTGAAAAATACCCAGATAATATCTCAATGGATGAACAGAAGGAGAAGGATGTTCCTGTTGGTACTGGCTCAGAGCCCACGGTGACTGCCGGTGGGCATGTAGCTGGTGAAACCCTAGCGGGGTCCGAGGCTTGTGTGAGTGAGGGTCAGGTTGAGGGGTCTTTCACTGAGGATGTGGGTGAAGATGATGGTGGTTCTTGTAATGGGGATGATATAATGGTGGAGGTTCTGGGGTCTAATGTTTATGTTGGTGGAGTTTGCACTAGTGGGGATGGGGAGAAATCAGATGATGAGGTGGGTCGTGATGAGTCGGATGAAGTTGATATGGGTTCGGAGAGAAATGTTGGGTCCTTGGGTGGAGATGGTGGTGGAGTGGGTGAACCGGATTCAGTGGAAGGTTCAATAGGTGGAGAAACCCAGGTTCTTCATATTGAGGAAGCTGAGGTGGTTGCAAGGGAGGTTGTGAGTTCACAGGAAGTTATTGCTTCAGATGAAAAAAAAGATGATTCTACAGCTGAAAATGGAATTGGAGGTTCCTCGGATGGAGCTCTATGTGGTGAAACACAAGTTGTGGAGAATGAAGTTACTGTTATTGAAAGTGTAGAAGTTTCAGAGAGAGGATTGGTGGAGGTTGTGGAGCAAGAAACGAAGTCGGTTGTTGCTGGGGTTGATGCACTCCATGATTTGAAGACACAGAAAGCTGGTGTTTCAGATGATGAAGTATGGAATCCTGGGATTGAAAAAGCTGCAGTGATTATCAATGGAGAAGGTTCGAATCCCAAGCCCTTGAGTGAGCAAACCCAAGTTCCTGCTGCTACTGGTGATGTTGCTGGGGAGGACAGAGTAGATACTTTGACTTCCCAAGTGGCAGGCAAGGAAACTGATAAAATTGATGAAAATTCGAGTAATTCAGTAGAAGAACAGCTAGTTAAGATTGAGTCAGTAGGTGTTAGCACCCACAGTAGCAGCAATGGACCTGCACATTCAGTGTCTTCATCTCTTCCAGCTCAAGTAGTTCATGGAGGTGAAATTGCAGTAAAAGGTGCACATGATCTTCTGACTTTTGAGAAAGACCAGTTCTTGAAACCTGAAGAGAGCGTGGAGAACATGGTTCATGATATTTCCCTGGTTGAATCAACTTCCGTATCTCTGCCAACAGAAGTAGTTCCAGGAGGTGTAGTTTCGGTTACAGATGGAGGCGGCCCTTCAAATTCTGTAAAAGATCAGCACTCGAAATATGAAGAGAGCATAGACAAGAACATGGTCCATGATATTGCACAGATTGAATCAAATACCAGGCAAGAGATGGAAGTGGACAGCCAAGTTAATGATGCTGGACAGGTTGGGTTAGATGGAGGGCATGGAGAACATTTGATGTCTAACAATGATGTTCCAGAGCCAGCTGAAAAAGAGCAACTCTTGAAGTCTGAAGAGTCCTTAGAAAAGACTGCGACTGCTTATGTTGCTCCAGTTCATCCTAATATGGACATGGAGGGAGTCAAGGAACAACTTACTGATCCCGAGGGTGTATTATATGGAGGGGAACAGATAGAAGATAAAGGCCAATACACAATAGGCGGAAGCACTGAAATTGCAGCAGCAGATAATAATGTTCTCTTGCATCCAAATGGTCAGAACTTGAAAACTGAGACTCTGTACAGGAGCTCACAAACTGATATCCAAGTCACTGATAGTGGGGATATTGCTCCTATGGACACTGAGGAGGTTTTCAATTATGCCAGTGTGGCTGAGACTAATGTTGTGCATGAGGCAGGACTTAAGGAACAAGTTACTGATGCTGAGCTGGATGGTTTACATGGAGGGCAATACACGGAAGTCGAAACAGAAGCTACTGAGCAACCAAAATTCAGTGAAGAGGAAATTATTATGGAAGAAGCTATGCAGCCTGGTAGCTCAGATATTTTGCTTCAACCAAGATATGAGCTGCCACCAGAAAATGAAGGCTTGTTTTCTGCGTCTGATTTAGTTTGGGGTAAAGTAAAGAGCCATCCATGGTGGCCTGGACAGATTTTTGATTATACGGTTGCATCTGAGAAGGCAATGAAATATCATAAGAAGGACTGCTTTTTGGTAGCATATTTTGGGGACCGAACATTTGCTTGGAATGAACCATCTAGTTTGAAGCCTTTTCGATCTTACTTTCCCCAGTCAGAGAAGCAGTGCAATTCAGAAGCGTTTCAGAATGCTGTCAATTGTGCTCTGGAAGAAGTTTCAAGACGTGTCGAATTGGGACTAGCATGCTCTTGCATACCAAAAGATGTCTATGAGAAGATTAGGTTCCAGATTGTTGAAAACGCTGGGATCTGCCAGGAATCAAGTAGAAGAGATGAAGTGGATGAATCTGCAAGTGCCAGTTCTCTTGAATGTAATAAACTGCTTGAATACATAAAAGCTTTAGCACGGTTCCCATCTAGTGGAAGTGACCAATTGGAACTTGTGATAGCTAAGGCTCGTTTGCTGGCATTTTACCGCTTGAAGGGTTACTGCAGCTTGCCCGAATTCCAATTTTGTGGAGATTTATTGGAAAATAGCACAGATAGTTCCCTTTCCGAGGACAAAATAAATCTAGGTGAAAGGGATGAGCATACGATTGAAAAGGTGACTTTTTCTGGCCCGGACATGGTAAAAGTCCAGAGTAGCAATTCTAATAAGCGTAAACATAATTTGAGAGATGGAGTGTATTCTAAGATAAAAGAAAGAAGCCTGTCAGAATTAATGGAAGGTGGCATAGATTCTCTAGATGGGGATGATTGGTTGGATGGGAAGGATAGTGGTGGTTTGGTTTCACCATCCTCTGGAAAGAGACGGAAGGGTTTCGAGTATCATGCTGATGACTTAACAGTGCAAGATGGAAGGAAAGGTCTTTCTGTTGCAAAAGTTTCTAATACCACACATATCCCAAAGCAATCTTTTAAGATTGGTGAATGTATCCAGAGAGTTGCAAGCCAACTGACAGGGTCTCCCATAGTGAAGTCCAACAGTGACAGACCTGCTGGGGATGGATCTGATGTTGCTTTCCAGAGTTCTGGTGATGGCCATAGAGGGAGAGCAATTGATCCAACAGAGTACTCATCATTAGGTGAATTGCTGTCACAACTT